CGTCAGGAAGAAATTCTACCGAACGACGGCCTAAAAACCCATTAGTTTCAAGGAATGGCCTCGAAAGTCTATCTCTTTTGATAAAACTTATTACAGTTTCACTCGGATCAGGACTTTAGCAAGTCGCTAATCAAAGACGCAAAACTGCAGTCTTCCAGAGCACCAGTTTACTTTTACGAGTTTACCTATCATGGAGCCATGGGCGACTTTCCGCAAGAACTAATGGGTAGAGTTTGGGAAGAATAAAAGTGTGGCAATTACTTACCAATATCCTTAGGGGCCGGCAATGTGAGTCACGGCGAAGACCAAAACTACATCTTCAACAGGGTGATGTGGTACAGCCAATTGAATAACGCTGATCTAAGCCAATTCAGCGAGCAGGACCAAACAGTCCACTACCGATACTTGAAGCTGCTGGTAAACTTCGCCACTTATCTGTAAGCATTTTCACTTGCATTAAAACGTAATTGAATAGAACGAAATTTCAGGGACCCCACACCTGAGGATGACGATTTGTTACAAAACATCCATTGGCCAGTGGTTCAAGCTGATAATTTCCAGTATTTGGAAATAGGAACGAATCTGTCGGTCGGGAAGAACCCTAAAGGCGACAGGCAGCTGTTTTGGGAGCACATTTTCACTACTTACGGTCTGGAGCCTTTCGAAACGTTTTGAGAGCCGAAGTAAAACTTGAAAGCGAAAAATATAACAATTTTATTTGAATTGCGTGATATAAACATTAAGTATATAAATACAATATTAATGTGTGGGAATAATCTAGTCTTAGTCTAGACAGGCAAGATCGATCAGAAAACAATTAGTAACGTACAAAAAGTTTCATAGTTATAAAAAATAGAATAAAATAAATAGGCGCGATAAAATATATATATATATATACACTGAGCGTTAGTAGTAAAACCTAACGATCTTTATAAACAGAAAGAAAAAATCAAAAACAATATACATTTGTACTGTAATTTAATAATCAACTTGTACAGTCACCTAGTATAAATATTATTATAAAAAGCATAAAATAAAATAAAATAATTAGATGCGACTTCCTTTTTCACTATACACCTTATCAGTCAATATTCAACAAGTTACACAATAAAATCAGATTAAGTAGAAAAATGCGACAATTTAATGACAATAAATCACTAATAAAAATCGTACACGCGTAACAACCATATAGTTCAGTTAGTAAAATAGCATCTCTAGTTTACACTCATTTGACTTTGTCGGGACTGTACACGTACAACGAATTGGGGCATAATAAAAACCAGAACCAATAGTGACAAAACAACAATTTCATTATTATATACAAATAAATAATAAAATGCTCGAACATTGTACAGTTAACAATACTGACTAGCTATTTGATAAAGGGAGGAATATCCACTGTACCCTACAAGCCCAATATTTCAAAATTAGCGCAAATTGCAACACACAATGCCTGAATAAAATTCAACAATCCCTTGAAAAGGTATAGCAGCTATTCCTGAATAACTATCAACATTGGCTTCATCTGGATAAAGTGTGGATAATAACTCATCGAAAACAATTAAATATCTCCTCTTGATAATATCTGCAATCGTCTTCGCTTTCCCTTCCTAACAGTAACAACGGGCATATAAAATATCATATATCAATGTTAGCAATATCACCCAAATATATTCACTTTCAGATAACTCTAATTAGATTCGATTTACCGACGACAATTTCCTTACGGAAAAAAGCCGCTATCATTGCTTAGTTTCTTGTTTTTTCCTTCGCCTGCCACCTTCCAGCAGATAAGAGACGTCCACTATTTGCTTAGTGGGCATTTTGCTCAAAAGATTCAATAGGATTTTGTTCAGTCGAGCCTTCTGCTGCGCTGGACTCTGAACGAGTATTACACATAGAATCGATGTTACAGTTAAAAATCAAGACTCACCCTTTGAATAGGAACCGGAGCAGACTGCAGCTGTGCTGCAGCCACTTGGGCTGCGCCCTCGTTTGAAGACAGTTTCTCCTTATCCTTGTCCAACCTTCTTCGTCCAACTCCGCCGTTCTTCAGCAAAGACGCGTCCACATCATGCGGACAATAAGTTCTGGATATTTTCATGCGGGTCTCAAACTGCTCGAACGCGAAGCTTTTGGTGCATATTGGGAACTGTAGAAAACAGCCATGAGCATTAACTGGATACGTTTGGAACCGGGTTAGTTTACCTTGCTTTTGGCTACTTTGCTGAACATTTTAGCGCCCTTGTCCACTCGATACTCGCAAATGTAGACGTGCTCTTCTTGGGCGCCGATGGGCCGCCCTTTGCAGAACGTATTAATGTCCATCACCCAGCAATGCTCCATCACCAGCTCGACTGGAACAGCTTCGTATAATGGCACCCGCATGACTTCGTTGGAAAAGAATCTGCAAAAAACATTCAAATTAGCCCCTGGACGAGAACAGCTCGAGTCATTCAGGACTTACTTGCGGGTAGGTTCATGAAAAGTCTCGTGTGGCCTTAAGTAGTGGTGCCCGTAGGCAAACCTCTTCCCCGAATCTTTGTCCTTCCACAGACGTTCCACCCGAAAAATGTCCAGTTCGGAATAGTCGATTTTGCCGATAGTTTCGTAGGTGTGCTTGCGATCCGAGCCTGGAATCGGTATGTCTCTGAGAACATAGACGGTGTCGCCTTGTCGTAGCTGCAGATCGCCCCGCATCAACGTCATGTAATACCTGCAAAAGCCAGAAATTAACACTGAAAAAAACCGGAAAACAAGCTCATTTACCGGTGACCATGTTCAGTGAAATCGTCCATAGGAATCTCGTAATCGATCGGCCGGGGCACGCAAACCTCACAATGATAGCTAGCCACAGACGCGTCTGCTTTTACACACTCGATGTGCTGCCACACCATGCACCGTTCGCATTGGATCATCAAACCTTCGTCCCGCGGAATTCCGCAAATGCACCGAATGATGTCTTCTTCGTGATCTATTTAGTCAAAAAGGTTAGAAAACCTTTCTCCTACCAAAACAGCGCGCAGACTTACTGGTTTTCTTGCAGTTAACAAAGGCCGGTGGAGGTTTGTTGCCTAAAACACCCTCCAGCTTCGGTAGATTGTTTTGTTTGGTCGCCATATACAGTTTCTTTAGCTTGGCGACTGCAATTCCCACATCGCTGTTGCGGCCATAGAATTTGGCGAATCCTGCAAAACGATGTGTAAAAACTAGCTTGAAATGATCACAGACTTAAACTCACCAGAAAACAACTTGATCATATCCATATCGAAAGCTTCGGGTGTCTTGTAAACCCCAGTAGCCACTTTTTGTTCTATAGTGGACAGATCAATGGGGTCTTGCACCTTCTGGAAGAACTCTGGAAGTTTCCTCTTGGACGGAAGCTGATACAAGTGGCTGCTCAAGCTCTCGTCTTTATCGCCCTTCAGGTCAGCCAGACCCGATAGGATGTTTTTCAGAACCGTGGCCAATTTAATTGTCTTGTTCAATTCCGGATCGTCTTCAGCCTGCGCCACCTTTCGAGTCTTCATGTTCCGCGGTTTCTGAATGGCGTTCAATTGGTTGATGAACGTGCTTGTATCGGTCGGTGTGGCTGTATGAAGCCTTGCGATGGTATTTGAAGTCACACTCAAAGACCGATCTCTTACTTTGCGGACCTGATGAAAATGCGAAACTTAGCAGGTTGATTAGCTCACAAACCGCGCTTACTTTTGTTAAATTCCGTAGCAGGAAGCAGTGATGTTCCAAGATGAAGCACTTCTGCTGATGGCTCATCGGCTTAACTTGGATCTGAGGTACCACTTGAGTTATGGGGGGAACAGTGGTGCTGGTTGCGCTGTTATCTTTTTGGGAGTTGGGTTTCTTTTTTGCCTCGGTCTTGCGCGGGCGGCCCACTCGACCTGGGTTTTTAGGCACCGTTGATTCGGGCAGTTGCTTAATCCTCTGCGTTTTCCCGCCTGGAATGAATTAAGGCCCCATTTGGAACGTGGTCGATGGTATTGGTAAATACGCGACCTACCGATTACTCCTCTGCACTGGGCGCTGCGACACTTGCAAGGCTGGCCTTCGGCAGGATTAAACAGCGAAAAGTTGTAGTCGTAGGACAATTCTTCGAAAGGCTGAATGTTCCGCAATGCAAACAGTGCCATCCTGAATTGCCCGTTTACACTCCACTGCAAAGAAAATGAGCAACTTGTCCAGCAGGGCCCCAAGGATTGTTGCTTACCTTTTGCATCTCGCAGTTCGGCTCGCATGAATGATTAACAAATCGCCCATCTCCGCCCATTCGATGCCCATCAATGACCAACCCACTGTCCAAATGGAGGCAGTAATGGTGGGTATCGTTCACGTAAATGCTATTCATCCGTTCCTTGAATTCCTGATCTGAAACCACTTCGCCAACGTATTCGAGGATGAAGTCCCCTTGATTGATTGGCTCTTTGGTGCGCACACCCCAACCTGCAACAACCCGGACTTTATAATGTAATAATGTATAATATGTATGAAAAGACAGAGTCAAACTTGACCGGGGCAGAGTTTACAAGCAAACACAAAGTTGTGAACGTTTTAACAATGTGAAGTGTTTGGGGAAATATTTTATTGATAGTTGCAAGAAAG